AAATGAATGTTTATCATGTATTTGATTATGTTTTTCAGTAGTTAGTTACATGAGCTTGAAAATGGAGCTTTAATAAGTTGTATTTAGACAAAATTACTTGTAATCTTAAATTTTAAGTAATATGCATCAATAAACAGTACTTCATACATAAAAAATAGTTTTAAGAGTTTTTGTCAAATACTTTATAATATAGTATAGACAAGGAATAAGTTGTATGATATCCCTTGAGATAATGCAAGCAAAACACGTGGAACGATCTGAGGCTTGCATTTTAGTATGAAGAAATGAGTAAAAGTAAGGCCTCTTTAGTCAAGACATCAACAATTTGAACGGCTATTGGCATATAACAAATAACTTAGCTGTTTGGATAAAACCATGTCCTGAATATAATGAAGATCGATCTTTACTTATCTAGTCCATTGATGAAAACGAGATCTATTGCCAAATAAGTCACCCAATATTGTCACACCACATCGTTGGAGGATTAAGACCCGGTTTCAACTCTCGAGTTAATGACAACAACCATCATAATTCTAAAGCGGCACGTGCTAAGGCACGATATTCCGCCTCTGTACTAGATCGAGCTTAGTACTCCAAATTATCAGATTGGGTCCTAGAAAAATACTATAAGCACTAGTAGAACGCCTGTCATCCTGCCTAGTTGGCATCAACATATGCAAACATTACTATGGACAAGACTACTAAATTAAAAGACCATGAGTATTGGTTCCTTGTATAAAACGTAAAATATGTTTCACAGCTTCCCAATGTTGATCAGTCGATCGTTGTAAAAATTGTGAGATCTTGCTAAAAGTATTAAGTAATCCCAAATCGAGTAAGCACAAGATGTTGTAAGGCACCCACGGTACTTCAATATAAAATCAGATCATCAAGTGAAATACCAAAATAACTGACCGGCCAAGTGAGACACAGAAGATGATAGTGGCTTACGTTGACTTAAGTCTGTCCGGTTTAGAAGATCAAGAAGATATATTTCTTGTGACAAATTGTTAGCTCTCATTTTCTTAAATGTAAAAGTATAGAAAAAGTAAACTACGAGTATTGACAGAAGATGATCTGTCACAGAAGACCACAGAGGACCAACAGCAGAAGATGCTCAAGC